GGCTGGATACAGTGGCACATTCATGGCCACTGCAGCCTCGACCTGCTGGGCTCAAGCGATCCTTCTGACTCAGCCTTTCAAATAGCTAGAACCACAGGCGTGTGCCACCCTGCCCAACTAATTTTTTGATTTATTGTAGAGACAAGGTCTTGCCAAGTTGCCCAGGCTGGTCTCAAACTCCTGAGCTCAGATAATCCTCTTGCCTCTACCTCCCAAAGTGCTGAGATCACAGGTGTGAGCCACTGTGCCTAACCTAGGTTCCATTTTTAATGTTAAAATTTTTAGAGATGGCCTCACTCTGTCCCCCAGGCTGGAGTGCAGCGACACAATCATAGCTCACTGCAGTCTCAATCTCCTGGGCTCAACCAGCCTCCTGAGTAGCTAGGATTACAGGTAAAAAAGTTTTGTAGAGACAAGGTCTTGCTGTTGTCCAGGCTGGTCTCAAACTCCCTGGCTCAAGCTATCCTCCTGCCTGACTTCCAAAGTGCTGGGATTATAGGTGTGAGACACTACAACCAGTCAAACATGGTCCATCTAGTTTCCTCTGAGAGACTAGAACACAACAGGTCCCAGGTGTCCCCTGGGTTTCCCTACTAATGATCAGGACCCCTCGTTCCACATATGTTCCCTGACCCAATACCACAGCCTGCAGTAGGTGAGGAACAGGGGTGTGTGAACACACTCGCCTGTGTCCTCACTCTTGACCTTCCTGCGACCGAGGAAGAGGGAAGAGGCCGAACCTCTCACAGACATGCTGGAGACCCCAAAATGAAGTCACGGGGAGGGGTCAACAAGGCCTCCTTGGATCCAGCCATCCCTTCAACACCTGACTGAGAGGGGACCAACTCTTCAGGGGCCTTCCAATGAACTGGCCTCAGAATTCAATTCAAACTCCCTCTCACAAGCCTCCGCTGGCCCCGCAGACAGCTCAGCTCCTGGCTGATGGAGCACACTTGGCCATGCAAGCTTTCTGTTTCTATTCCTTGAGCACACAGGCACGTTCCTGCCTCGGGGCCCTTGCACTTGTGGTTCCATTGGTCTGGAACATTCTAGACCAAACTCTCCTGAAGCAAGCAATTTAACAGGTCCCTTTCAGAGTGGCCTTCTCTGGTGGGCCAATTCACAGGAGTACTGCTCTTATCTGAATGTGTCTTGTTCTTGTATTTGCTTGCTTGTTACTAGTCTCCCAGGTCAAGGATGTGAGGTCCCCAAATGCTAGGACCCTGTCTATCCTGTGTACCACAGAATCTCCAAGGTGTTTGAGAACAGGTTTAGGGCTGGGAGAAGGACCATGAAGACACCAGTGCCACTGACATGTATTTGGCATTGAAAAAGTCAGGGACACGGGCTTGTCCTGGAAGACCCTTTGGGATCTGGCTTCGGTCCCCTCGCTGTTTTTAACAATGGCAACTACCACATGGCTGTGTCTTCACTCAAGACCTTCTTGTGGTGAAGGAAGAGGGGAGAGGCTGAACCCCTCACAAGCATGGTGGAGACCCCAAACTGAAGTCACTGGGAGGCATCAACCGTAACGGCCTGAGAGTCTTCAAATGTCCTTCTGCACTTGAGTGTGCTGTCACTTTTGACGAGAACACTTGTCCCGCCTCCTTCCCTGCCTCTTTCTCCACTGAAGTTCAGACAGCCCTGTCCTCAGGACACTCCCCTGCCAGCCGGCCCCATCTGGGTTGGTTCGCCATAGTTAAAAACAGAGAGGGGACAGAAACCAGGTCCCAAAGGTTCTTCCAGGACAACCCATGTCCCTGACTTTTCCAATGCCAAATGCACATCAATGGCACTGGTGTCCTCATGCCCCCATAGCCCTCAACTCCTCACTAGAGATTTCTATCGCTGCAGAAACTCCCTCCAGACATGGACCGGGCCTTTCTCTGTTTCTGCAGTCCTAGCCCAGCATCAGACACACAGTAGGAACTCTAGAAATGTTCACTGCCGGGCATGGTGGCTCACGCCTGTAATCCCAATTTAGGAGGCAGAGGTGAGAGGACTGCCTGAGCCCAGGGGATTGGGATCAGCCTGGGCAACTTGGCAAGACCTCATCTCTACAATAAATCAAAAATCAGCCAGGCATAGTGGCTACTTGGAAGGCTGAGGCAGAAGGATTGCCTGAGCCCAGCAGGCCAAGGCTGCAAGGCTGTGAGCATGCCCCTGCACTCCAACCTGGATGACAGTGAGACTCAGACTCAAAAAAAAAAAAAAGAAATGCTTACTGGGTAGCAGTAACATTCCTGAAATCTGTGTCCACAGAAATAAATAAGTAATAAATATGACCTGTGCTCAGGCGTTATTTTTCTTTCTTTTTTTTTGAGTTGGAGTCTCACTCCGTCACCCAGACTGGAGGGCAGTGGCTGCTCCCGGCCCC